GTTCACACTCGCAGCCTGTCACTGATTCAGTTGTTACTCTCTGGGAACTGGGAGAAGAAATTACATACCCAGTTTCCCCGAAAGTAAGACCTCCCCGAAAATAAGGCCCCCCCGAAGCTACTGTAACTCTAGACTCTGGACCGTAGTGGCGGGCGCCGCTGTACAGTTCACTGTTGGCTGCAGCGCAGCTGGAGCAGACAGAAAGTACGAGGTCTTTTTTAATAAAACAATAAATATGTACCATATTCTTCTTCATGGAAAAATAAGACCTAGCGCATCTTTGGGAGCAAAAATGAATATAAGACACTGTCTTATTTTTGGGAAACAGGGTATTATAAAAGCATATTAGTTCTTTATCCTCAAGATTTCACTTTTCATCTGCCTTTAAGTTTACTACTTGATTGCAGCTAACACAGCAAAGCCAACAGTGATTAAAAAACAGACTGCATAGAGATCAGAAACAGTAAATGCTTTGGGTTCTCTGAAAGTCATTCCAACAGCAAATCTGGTAAAAATAAGCACATCTTACCACCAAATACTTCGCCTCACTTAGCACATGACTCACTACTAATGATATAGCAGAGTGTGACTGAGTTGTTATGTAAGTTCTTTCTGAATTGATTAAGGTCAAGGCTAAACCAAATGAGACAGCCATGCTTGATACACTTTACAGCTTATGCTTGGCCTCGACATTTAAAGGCTGGTGTACACTCCTATTTGTCAGGAAGCAAGGTTTTGAGACCAAATGAAAACCTCTGAAACTTCAAAATAACAAGCTCAGTGAGCAATACTTTATTTTATTTTATTTAGAATTAAAAGGGCGCTAATACTTTGATTATATACCATGCACCAGGCAAGGAACTAGATGCTGTCCTGGTGAGACCTCTTTTAACTACACACTGCTTTAGAAATGAAGTCACTGGGAGCTACCTTCCCCACTGAAGTGCCCTACAAAATGCGGAAGGAAATGATACTGGCTGGTCCTGTCTGATGGGACTGCTTGGATCGCGAGGTAGGAATACAGGATGAGGCTAAACCGACAGCAGCAGCGTCAATGTCTTCTCCAAATCAAAATCTTACCTTGAACAGGAAATGTGGACAACACGGGGGGAGCGTGGAGGACAGAAACCAACTTTCAACCACTCACCATAATGCATGTAACAGTTTCCTTTGGTGGGGTCCAGCTCAATAGCCTTCAAGAAGAACTTTTCAGCCTCACTCTTACGACCCTTAAAAAACAGAAACAAATGGATGATTCAGCATGTTGAGGAGGGTTTCTTCATAACATGTTCCCAGAGAAAAGGACTAAAGGAATCAACATTGGGAGAGGGGGCGGGGTATTTTGATTTATCTGATGATAAATATATGTGACATATATTTATGTCATTCCAACAGCAAATCTGGTATATATATATTTATGAATATATATCAAATAATATATTGTAAACAAAATAATATATTGAACGAGAAGACGGAGTATCTTGGGATTTAATCTAAAGACAGATCTTAGTTGTTATGGTTTTCAGTCAATAATATCATAATCATCATAATAGTGCAAGTAAAAAAATCAGGAACGTTTTACATGCAATAAATTTATTTTAAATGAAAGAGTGTCTTAATTCATACGAAATCTACAACTAGGCACTTTGAAAACTTGGTTATTGCTTCAGACCCCACAGGGGCTGCATGGAAGCACGAAGCGTGCTGCGGAGGTAAACCATCCTGAGAAAGGCTCCCTGGAGCAGCCCTGTCTTGGGACGGGTAGAGCTACATTCTAACTGCCTGCCATTGGTAGCAAGGTCCTGGGTGGTGTTCACAAGCCACGGTCACTGCTCATGCATTCCTCGTGTCTACTACCACATTGCCCATTGATGTTACATGATCTGTCATCTCTCTTTATATACACACATTACCACTATTATAGAAATAAATTTTCCAAGGTTCCAGGTGGAGAGTTAATCTAATATTCTACCTGTTATCTAACTGGCTCATTTCTGTATAGCCACCGTTATGTTCCATCTTCTGTTACAGCTTTCATTTATTTAGCTCACATCAAACTGGCAAGGCCTCACACTATGCTTTTGGGGACTTGTATTTTCTCATTTCTTCTTTCACTCTATGAATGCTGACTGAATAAACGACTCCTTTAAATAACTCCTCTTCAAATCCAAAGTCTTACCAAATTTCACATAGTAAAACATCACATGCCTCTCAAGATTTCCCACAGCAACTTAACTTGAAAGGAAAAACAGCAAGCAGATACAGCATGCTTCTTAAATAAACACAAAACGCAGTACCTGTTGTGAGTGAAAATGAGCAAGAATCTTAGCAAGTGTGTATGTCCATGAGTTAAATGTAAGAGGGAGGATTTACTCAGTAAATTTTCACATAATTTGCATTAAGCAAATATTATGGTCTTAGTTTTACCTCACTAATCTTGCTAGATCTGCGTATATACTGGTACAATCAAGGTCTTTTGATGCATGAAATTCAAGATAGATAAACTCCTTAGTAACAGTAAGGGGAGTAATGACTCCCTGAGGAGAAGGGAATAGGGGGATGGGATAAGGGGAAGGGGGAACTGATAGCAATGATGACTGCATAACCCCACTCAAAGGGAAAGAACACCAGAAATTTATAAAACTCCAATAATAATAATATACAATATACTGAGGTTTCATGGGGTGATAGAGTGGGGGAGGGAGGGGATAAGCAGCTGTTATCAAGGAATTCAAGAAGAAAAGAAAATGTGTTGAAAATGATGATGGCAGCAATTGTACGATTATGCTGGGTCTAATTTAATTATGGATTGTAATACCTGTAAGAGCTCCTAATAAAATGTTAAAGAGAAAAAAAATTACAAATCTTATCAAGGGTTCCCAAATGATTCAAAAACTGCAATGAATCAGGAAACATATTGTATGAGTTAAAAGCACAGAATTTAGACAGTCAGCCCAGTTCTCACACTTGTTTAGCTTACGACCTCTGGAAAAGTATTTAATCACTTTATTGTAATTTTCTCAAGTAAAAAGAGAAAAATAATAAAATATATTTCATACAATTATTGTATTACCCAAGGAAATACACAGAGTGGTAATTATAGTGCCCAATTTTGTACTGTGAACTACTACTGCTACTAATAAATATTGCTTCCTATGCCAGAATACAGGATTCCTATAGACGATGATATACAGTGAACCCTCGCCACTTAGCGCTTCGACTTCCGCGGCTTCACTCTATCGCGGTTTTTGCATAACAGCGCATGCTCTGTCATTACTGCCACTGATTGGCTAATACTGTACACGCTTCTGTCTGCGTCGCTACGTATCGGAGCTACGTATCAGATGCATTTTTGCTTTTGTACAGTGTACTGTAATTGTTTGCGATTTTTAAGAAATTTTATCTAAGCCCTATGATGGCTCCTAAATGAGCTGCTTCTTCTAAGCCTTCTAACAATAAAAAATAAGCGCCAGGGGAAGATGCTCACCATCCAGGAAAAGGTAAAACTTTTGGATATGATCAAAGATGGCAAAAAAATCGTGGAGGTTGCAAGCCATTTCGACTTGAATAAGGAATCCTACTTTGCGGAATTTCATTTGGGTTCACTGTATGTGTTAAATATACACAGCCAGAAAAACCTATGATTGGCCCTAACACCATCAATTGAAAATGATGCCTGAGGAGGATTCAAAGGTCTGTGAAAAAAATCTGTTATCTTTTCATTCAAACTTTCATGCATTTTTAAAAGTCCCTCATACAAAAATTTAAGGCAGGTAAATAATAAAAGAAACATGCAAAATATGAGATAATTGGCAGAAATATGGGCAAATAGTATTTGTAAAGATTAGAATCTTCATTTCTTACATTTAAGTTTTTAAGAACAGCAGAGAAGAAACTGACACGTTATCTATATTAGAGTACAAGAGGCCCTAAATTCTTCCATGTGGCCCATTGGCAAAAACAGTCATATGTAACTATAGGAACATGTTCAAGCACTCAAAGGACATGCCTCTAGTTGCCTGGTAGATCATGTAATTAAAGGCAATAAGCCCATTTGTGCTGCACATGCAGAATATATGCATAGGAGGCCAGAACACTATTTAGAAGTGAAACATTGTTCCTGTTAAGTGCTTTCAACATTGTTCCAACTCCTAGGGACCCATGCACTACACAATGATACATTACACAGTCCTGCTCCATCAATCACATCATTGCTACGTTTGAGCCATGGTTGCAGTCATTGTGCCAACTCATCTCCTTGAGTGTCTGCCGTCATCTTTTCACAGATGTAGCCAACTGAGCTTCTGAGTATCCCATTCTGCAATGTTCACGTGCACAAGCATGATTTTTGTTGTTGAAAAAGGTTGCAATGGATAAGTTACTGATCGGACAAAATTCTAACATGATCTCCTGCACTGTTTCTGTCACCAAGCCACATGAGGGCCTGCAAACAAACTGTGGAAATATTCTGTTAACATTTAATTCCATTTTTTCACAAACTTGCTGATGCTCCCTGGTATTTTCAACCATCCATACGTCTTCATTTTTAACATTTGTAGTGCAATCCCTAGTAATTATGAAAACATCTTGATTGCTTATTTGATCAATTGCAGACTCTAAAAGTCAGTAAAGAAACATTCCATTTCTTCTTCACTGGCACTAGTGGTTGGCGTATCACATGCATTTTAATAATAATCATTATTAATTGGCCTCATATGTTTGTGAAAGTTGGGCACTGAATAAGGAAGACTGTAGAAGAATCAACATGTTTGAATTGTGCTCGCAAAGATCATTGAAAGTACCATGGCTGTTGACAGAACAAACAAATCTGTATTGGAAGAAGTACAGACAGAGTGCTCCTTAGAGGCAAGGATCCGGAGACTTCACCTCACTTCCTGTGAACATGTCCAGGGAGCAGTCCCTGGAGAAGGGCATCATGCTTGGTAAAGTAGTGGAGCTGAGAAAAAAGGAAGATCTTGTACGTGATGGATTGGCGCAGTGGTTGCATCGATAGGCTCAAATGTAAGAACAGTTGTAGGGATGGCACAGGAGGGTTTTGTTCTGTTGTGTATGGGGTTGCTAAGAGTCAGAAGCAACTCTACAGCACCCACCAACAACAATAGGGCAGCGTAGAACTATTCCTGTGGGTTCCGGAGACTGTAATTCTTTGAGAGTAGAAAGCCTTGTCTCTCTCCTGCAGAGTAGCTGGTGGTTTCAAACTGCTGACCTTGTGTTTGACAGCCCAAAATGTAACCCTCTATGCCACCAGGCTTCCTCATAGAATAAATCCTCATAAGTATGTAAAATATAAGGTCACTAAATTCAGGAGATAAGCACACATACAGTAATAGGTCCTGGGAAGGGGTCATGATAGTTAAAGAAAACGTGTAATCAAATGTACTGTTTCAACTATCATTGTTTTGAAGAGACACGGCAGTTAAGAAAAGGGACAGAAAAAAATCATTGATTTTCAGGTATTCTTTAATGTATTTTAGACTACACCAACATAAGAAAGTAACCGCAGAACACTTTAAACCCAATAATAAATCTCTCTAATCCCTATTGAGAGTAAGTGACAGAGGCAGCCTAGCTTGTGCTTCCATTCTGCCTCCTGTCTATTTAATGTCTGACCGTGAGTATAGTTTATGCCATTTCTCTGCAGGTTTTCCTCAGTGCCTTTTAGACTGATTCTTGAGTCTCCTTTTCCTCATTTGCAACTTGACCGATATTAAGACCAAATTTGGGAGACTGTTAAGAATAGCACAAATAAAATGGAAATAAGCAGCTTTGGCTCGGTCACAAGGCTCTGACATTTTTGCCTCTTCTTCCTTCCTTCTGTCCTCTAAAGACCCCCCAGTGGCATCAGTATCATTAGGTTACCACCGTTGAAAAACTGATAAATCATTTCCAACACCTTTTTACATTCAGAAACTCATAGTTGGAGGAAGGTATAAGCTTCACGATTTCTTATTAAATGTCTTTCCTCCCTTCAAGGAGAGGTGCCTTTGACTTCCTGTCTGCCTAAAACGCACAGATTTCCTGCCCGATTATACTTGGCTTCACCGTCCTGAGACAGATTAATGTTCTAAAACAGATCGTTTTTATGTTATGTTACTGTTCAATATATTGTAATATCTCCTGTTAATTCCCTGTCTACTTCACAATCAACCTAATTTTAAACATCTTCTACCTGTACGCCACAAATAATCTTAGGTGAAGTCTCTTGCAT